TATTGACACAATCATATTAGTATTAAAAGCCATGAGAGTGGATGAGATTAACTGGGGAATGAATGTAGATAGAACCGAAGAGTTCAAGAATTAAGCCTGAGAACATGTCAACATTTAAAAGCTAGGAAGACCAAAAACTAATCAGCAAAGCCTAACAACAGGGAAATGTAACACCTAGAAGTGAAGAGACCAAAAAAAAAAAAAAGCAGAAAAAAAAGTATTTCATGGAGAAAGTGTTTCATTTACTGTGTCAAACACTAAAGAAAGATTTTGTTTAATGAGAAAGACAAAATAATAATTGAGTTCATCAGTGTGGAAATAGATTAGTAAAAGTGCTGGAAACTAAAGCTTGACTAGAATGAACTAGGAAAAATTGGAGTTAAGAGAGTATAGGTATTTTTCAGGGAATTTGCTATAAGAAAGAAAGAAGTGGAACAGTATGCTTAGGGTAGTGATTTTGAAGAGATTTTAAATTTGTTTTTCCTTCCTTTTTCATTAAGGAAATAGGAAATGCTCATGATGTATGATTGTCAGGACAATTGCAGGAATGAGCAGGATTATGAGGTTTAGTGCAAAGGTGGAAGACTCACCCTGGTCTGCTATGTAGATGAGTTCAGTTCAGTTCAGTCACTCAGTCGTGTCTGACTCTTTGCAACCCCATGGACTGCAGCACACCAGGCTTCCCTATCCATCACCAACCCCTGGAGCCTACTCAAACTCATGTCCATTGAGTCGGTGATGCCATCCAACCATCTCATCCTCTGTCGTCTGCTTCTAATTTCATGGCTGCAGTCACCATCTGCAGTGATTTTGGAGCCCCAAAAATAGTCTGTCGCCATTAACATTGTTTCTTCATCTCTTTGTCATGAAGTGATGGGACCAGATACCATGATCTTAGTTTTCTGAATGTTGAGTTTTAAGCCAGCTTTTTCACTCTCCTCTTTCACTTTCATCAAGAGGCTCCTTAGTTCTTCACTTTCTGCCATAAGGGTGGTGTCATCTGCATATCTGAGGTTATTGCTATTTCTCCCAGCAGTCTTGACTCCATCTTGTGCTTCATCCAGCGTGCCATTTTGCGTGATGTACTCTGCATAGAAGTTAAATAAGCAGGGTGACAAAATACAGCCTTGACATACTCCTTTCCCAATTTGGAATCAGTCTGTTGTTTCATGTCTGGTTCTAACTGTTGCTTCTTGACCTGCATACAGGCTTCTCAGGAGGCAGGTCAGGTGGTCTGGTATTACAATCTCTTGAAGAATTTTCTACAGTTCGTTGTGATCCATGCAGTGGATAGTCAATAAAGCAGAAGTAGATGTTTTTCTAGAAGTCTCTTGCTTTTTCAGGGATCCAGTGGATGTTAGCAATTTGATCTCTGCTCCCTCTGCCTTTTCTAAATCCAGCTTGAACATCTGGAAGTTCACGGTTCACGTACTGTTGAAGCCTGGCGTGGAGAATTTTGAGCATTACTTTGCTAGCGTGTGAGATGAGTGCAATTGTGTGGTAGTTTGAGTATTCTTTGGCATTGCCTTTCTTAGGGATTGGAATGAAAACTGACCTTTTCCAGCCCTGTGTCCACTGCTGAGTTTTCCAATTTTGCTGGCGTATTGAGTGCAGCACTTTCACAGCATCATCAGAATTGTTAGTGTGTTGATCCAGAGTGGTGGTTTCCCAGGCAGGTATGCTGACTGCTAAAGGAGAGAAGGGATAGGGAAAATAAAAGCAGGGGAGAGTCTGCAGTGATTGGAAATTGAACTTTGGGAAGAAAGGATATTAGGGAATGAGAGACAGTGAAAACTTGGCAGGATCAATGAATTATCCCAACTAAAAAGATACTATTGAATTTGGGTTATTTCATAAAATGGATAAGCTGGAAAGAATAGAGTGAGTTGTTTGAAACTAATATTCCACGATTTTGTGATATTTAGGTTTTTTTTTTTTCATCATTAAAAAATAATGCTTATAGTTACCATCTTTGTATATAAAGTTTTGTGTATTTCCATTGTTGTTGTTATTTAGTGGTTAAATCGTGTTTGACTCTTTTATGACCCCATGGATTGTAGCCCACCAGACTTCTCTGTCCATGGGGTTCTCCAGGCAAGAATGCTGAAGTGGATTGCCATTTCCTTCTGCAAGGGATCTTCCTGACCCAGGGATTGAACCCATGTCTCCTGCTTTAGCAGTCAGATTCTTTACCACTGTGCCACCAGGGAAACCTTGAAAAGCTGTAATTGCTAAAATACTGTCAAGGTAACCCTGAAACAGTCTTAATAACTCATAAAGGCTATTATATATTTTCCATGTCCTCAGGAAGTGGATATCACACAAATGAGGAATTGTTGATTTATTGATGATAAAAGTGATATTTAGATATTTGTGTAGGTGCTATAGGGGAACATATTCGTGTAGGGGAAAATGAATTTAGGATTTATTTATAGCAAAATTTCAGAAAATTTAAATGGTATGGGAAGGGAAATCCAAGTGAGTGTTTTTAGTTTTAAATTTTATTATTTTATCATCGAGTGTAAATTAACTTTATTCTCTCAATTGTCTGGTTGAACTTTACTTCCTAAGTCTTTTAGAATAAACAAAATGCTACTTTTTTTTTCAAGAAATATGTTGACAAGATACTGAGAATCATGTTTATTACTTTAGCTTTCCAGACTTTAGCAGCATTTAATAGTTGTTTATTTGTGTAGACCATTATACTATATGTAATATAAGTAGCCAAGAAGTACTTTATTCTCCTCAAACTATTTTGTAGTCTGAGATCTCATATAAGGTAATATCTATTCATATCACCTAAATATATTCTAGTGAATAGAGAAGAAAATTTAATTTGTAAACTGTCTTTGTAATAACATATATTCCAATTTATGGTTTACCTAATAAGAGAACAATAATTAATAGTCTTATTTCCTTTGTTACGAGATTTTGTATGTTATGTGCTCAGTTGCTCAGTCTTGTCCTACTCTTTGTGGCCCCGTGGACTATAGCCTGCCCATGGGGTTTCCCAGGCAAGAACACCAGAGTGGGGTGCCATTTTAGTCCTTACTGACAAAATAATAGATTGAATCGTAGAAAAATTTCTGAGGAAGACATTTTTAGCAGAAATTTACAGAAAAGTAGGGTTGAAAGAAAGTTGGATTGTGCTCTAGAGCAAATTGGTGCAGAAAGGTAAGAGGAAGTTTGAAAGTACAGTGATGGCAAAATGGAGGGATGACTTATATTGGTAGACTAAACAAGGGGGAGATGATGTTTTTTATGTAGAGTGATTTTTTTATATCTGATTTACAGTGTTGTGTTAATTTTTGCTGTATAGCAAAGTGATTCAGTTTCACACATATATATATTCTTTTTCATATTATTTTCCATTGTGTTGTCACAGGATATTAACTATAATCCTCTCTGCTATACAGTAGGACCTTGTTGTTTATCCATCCTGTATATAGTAATTTGCATCTGCTAGTCTCAAACTCCCAGTCCATCCCTTCCCATCCCCAGTCTCCCCCTTAGCAACCACAAGTCTGCTCTCTCTGTCTTTGTGTCAGTTTCATGGATATGTTCATTAGTGTTGTATTTTAGATTCCACTTATAAGTGATATTGTATGGTATTTGTCTTTCTCATTCTGACTTCACATAGTATGACCATCTTTGTTGTTGGAAATGGCATTGTGTCATTCTTTTTTATGGCTACTGAGTAATGTTCCATTGTGTATGTGTATCACATCTTCTTTATCCATTCATCTATTGATGAACATCTAGGTTGTTTCCATGTCTTGGCTATTGTAAATACTGCTGCTGTGAACATAGTGGTGCATATAACTTTTTGAATTACAGTTTTGTCTTGATATATTTGGGGATTCCCAGGTGGTGCAGTGGTAAAGAATCCACCTGCCAGTGCAGGAGATGCAAGAGATGTGGGTTTGATCCCTGGGTTGGGAAAATCCTCTGGAGTAGCAAACGATAACCTACTGCAGTATTCTTGCCTGGAAAATTCCATGGACAAAGAAGTGTGGCGGTCTACAGACCATGGGGTCACAAAGAATTGGATATGATTGAATAATTAAGCACACACGCTTGATATGTGTGCCCAGAAGTGGGATTGCAGGATCAAATGGCAACTCAAATTTTTAATTTTTGGAGAACCTCCATATTGTTTTCCATAGTGACTGCACTAATTTATAGGATGTTAGATTTAATACTTAATAGCAGTAATTGGAAAGTGTTTTGAGAGTTGGGGATTGAATAATTAGGTGCAGAGTTTTTTTTAATCAGGTTTTACTTTTAACTATAGGAAAATGGTAGTAATTAAGTTTGAAACAACTCATGATAAATAATTCATTTGATGAAAATATCACATTATATTTCCAGAGTGGAAATTTGCAACTTTGCATGTACAGCACATTATAAATGGAGGCTGATCTAGTTTTAAACTGACAATTTGATATTTATCCTATACATTTTTCAGGTTTCTTATTTGATAATAGAAAATTGACTATTATTTATGTTGTCTTTGTAGGAGATAAATGAGTTAGAATCTTTTCTATCTAATGGGGATGTTAAGACATGTAAGAAAATACTGGGAATTCCCCGGCAGTCCAGTGGTTAGGACTCTGTGCTTTCAGTGCTGAGGACCTGGGTTCAGTCCCTGGTCGAGGAACTAAGATCCTGTAAGCTGCAAGGTGAGGCCAAAAAAAAAAAAGAAAAAGTAAATACTGATTATGAGTCCTTTTGCTAGGTACAAAAAGAAAGAGATTATTTCTGTACATACTCTAGCTTATATTTAAAATTCAAACATCGGCAGAATGATAAATATGGTCATTTCCTTTTCCATGCATTTCTTACACTGAGCCTTTAAGAATTTCACAGATGATAATGTAGCCATTTCTTAGACTCTTTTCCTGTTTATTAAAGGTGTGGTACATTTTATGGACTATGATTTAGGTGTCATTTTTCCTTCTCAGGAATGCTTGCAAACAAACCTTTGTTTTTTTCTGCAGAGGTTACGAACAGAAAATAGACTTTTAAAACAGCGCATTGAAACGTTAGAAAAAGTAAGTAAATTGCTACTTCTGTAAACGTCTGTTGAATTCACAATAACTTTTCTACTTTAAATAAAGGCTCAAAACTCTAGCACGTCTCCAAAATTGTGGTACTGACTGCTTAGCTTGCATAGCTTACTACTAAACTAACTAACTTGTCAGTTAAAATTGATCATTACTAGTCCTTGAACTCTCAGGTCAAAGCTTCAAACTAAGGTTATTAATAGAATAACATATTAATATTATTTGTTTTCATTATATAATCTCTGAAAAGTGTGTTCTTCAGGGGTAACCTAATTGAGAATCCATTCTGTGTAGTATTTTAAAAATGGCTTTCAAATGTTGCCCTGACTGTCCAGACATATATTAAATGTGGCAGTGATTTCTTTAAGACCTAGGCTTGCTTTTAAGTTTAGTCAAAATGACTAATTCCTTACATAAAAACTCATCATGAAGCTTGTTGATTTTTCATTTCAGGAATTGTGCCTAACCTTTTGGTTCTTAGAATTATTTTGATAACACTTGTTGTCTTTTCCTCTCTATTGCATATAAAATAACTGGGTAGATGTTGCAATTCTGTGTTATTTTTCTTATTATGCTTTTGAAATAATGTCTTTTGTAGTCTTCTTTCTGGTACTGTAAGAATATATTGAGTAATAAAAGCGTAGTCTCAGACACTTGTTTTATTTAAGATGTCCCAATTCACAAACCCTTGGTGTGTTTTTTGTTTTGCTTTTTTTATTTTTTACCAAAGATAAGAATTAGTTGTTTAAAAAATACTCCTCATGATATTGCCAGATATCTTAAAATCTTCCCTGAAAATTGATTGGTAAATATTTAGGAACAAAATGAATGAAGATACAGATTATTTGCATTTTTTCTTTTGTTTGGGAGTATTGGTGGTTTCATGTTAAATAGCATAGCACAAGGACAGGATTTTATTGCATACGTATTTTTGTTGTATAATAATTGCAGGTACATTATATTAAGGATATAATGCCTTCATCTTATTAGAGTTGCTTTGAAGATAATTCTGCTTTTTTGGTAACTGTGAAAGGTTGTGCTCTTAATTGTCTTTAAGTCATTTTAATTTTATATACATATATATATATTTTAAACTAAATATTCAGTTTATAGTAAACTATACCTCTTTCTAGGTGGTCTTTTATCTTTGGAGTAAGACATTTTCACAGAGAAAGTGTTTTTATTTCCTCGAAGCTTGAGAATAATAAAGGTGCTGTTGGAAAGTGTTAAGTTTGGATTTTGCTTCTAGAAAATTAAATACTTTTTTGCTGGCTTATTTGGCCTGGTTGTGTTCTTTAGCACTTAGAATCCTGTAAATACTCGATACCAATTAAAGTCCATAACCACAATGTTTACTTACTCTGTTATTGCTAGAGTTTATTACAGTTGAGCTCATTAATATCATTTGTCATGTTTTCCTTGCTTTGTTTCTTTGGAAGTTGCTGTTGCACAAATTGCTATCACGCTTTATAAGTGGAATTGCTTACTCAAATTCCTTCTCCCTTTCATATATAAATTATTTGACAATATGGATAATGTTAAAAAATACTTTAAAAGTATGCTTTAAAAAGAAAATATTGGTTTCTCCCAAATTATGAAAAAAACCCTCTTGGAATTTGTGTTTGGTTTCTCCTAGAAGTACATGATGTTCTCCTGTTTATCTTTATTTTGATATATTTTTATTTAAGAATAGAAATACATACAATAAAAAGACCATTTTAAAATCTAAATGTCCATTTTAACTGCAATGAAAAGTAGGTGGAATTTGGGTATGTGTTGTTTCTTCTTATTCCTAATTTTATCACCTTTGTTTTATTTCTGTCTCTTATATTCCTATCTGAATTTTTCCTTTTGTAGGAAAGTGCTTCCTTGGCAGATAGATTGATACAGGTATAGTTTTTTGGTGTTTTGTTTTTTTAAAGCATTTTCTCTAACATCTAAAGGAAGTCGTAAACCTAGAAATTCATATTTTAATGCATGCAATTTTACATGCATTTTTCTGGAAATAATTTTTGGGGTGGTATCTATGGGTGTAAACTTAATTTTTGATAACAATGTGTTACTTTTATTAAAATAAACCCATCTTTTGCACGTTTTAGAGCTAACCTTATTTTAAAGTATTTATTCCAAAATGGCAATTAGTGAATTCTGCAAAATTAACCACTACTCATTGAAAACATTAGTCCTGCATGTACAGTAATATTGCATGAATTGAATTTTTATTGACTGAAAGAGGAATTGTTCTTAAGATTATCAGATGAATTTTTCATTGAGTCTCCCAAAATTTGCTGGAGCAATAATAAGCTGCTGGCTAATGATTACTTAGGTTGTTCTGTTTTCTGAGATGATTTTTTTTTTAACATGTCAAAGTAAGGAATTAAACCTCACAAAGGCAGTCTTTCTTGAATCTATCCTAAATTGCTTTACACACACAAAAATTATGTCCTAAGGGACAAGTGACAAGAGCCCAGGAGGCTGAGGAAAACTACCTCATAAAACGGGAGCTGGCCACCATCAGACAGCAGAGTGATGAGGCCAGTGCTAAACTGGAGCAAGCTGAAAATACCATCAGGAAGCTCCAGCACCAACAGCAATGGGTAAGGAGTCTGGGAGTGTTTTTTCTCACCTTCCTCATCCCCTTCCTTTAAACGTTTTTTTTTTAAAGCACGATTTCTGTGCTCTAGTTTTTTTAACAATTTTGTTTTCTACTGTAATTGAATTCTTAATCAATTTTAAGTTTTATAGTACTTAGGGGTCTTATTGTGGCCTAAAGACTCCTCGTTCTAACATTTTTTTTTTCTGTTTACACAGTTTTGTTAGAAATGGGTATTATTTTGTTTCCTTACATTATGTTTTAAGTCACAGAAAATAAGTGGTGTTCGTCAGAACTGCTTTTTAGGTTTCAGATATCTGTTTTAATAAAAAGTATTTTTTCATTTTACAAATTAAAAGGTTAATTCATAAATCTTTTGCCAGTTTTTGTTAATTGTGTATATAAGATACTACCTAGCATATAGAAAATATGAAATATCTCATTTAGATCTTTGATAATATGGTGATTTATGTCCTAGAAATACTGTAGTCCTCATACATTGGGACATTAAATTATGGGTTCAGTTGTATGCTTAAGTTTTTTTCAAAAGAGAGAAATTGTCAAAATGAAAAAAAAAAAGGATTTTAAAAATATTATGTTAACTAACTTACAGTAGTAAACTGCTACTGATCAAAGAACTATCCTCAGGTATCTTTTGTAACTTAGATACTATTTTCCATTGGCAAATTCAGACCAGTGTGATCTTAATCAAAAATATGGAAGTTAAAAAAAACCCAACTATATGAGAGTTAAAAAGAAAAGCCAGCTGTTTATCTTTGAGAATATATTATTTCTTATTTCAGCTTTCTGTTTTCAAGTAAGAGTTGGATTGTAACAGGAATAGGAAGAAAAAGTGTTAAACCTAGAATGCTATATGTAAAGCAAAAAGAATGACTTCAAAGTTGGATGTTATTTTTATTCAGAAAAATTAAGAAATGGTATTATCTTCTGAGCATGAAAATCAGAAAACTAAAAACAAAAAAAAATTGGTAATTGAAAAAAACATACAATTTTTCTTATTATGTTAATTGAATATGGTTACCAAAAACTGAATAAAAGAGTGGTCAAAGAATACATTCATTGCTTATTATCTGTGGAAGACTGGTTCCAGGACACCTGAGGATACCCAATTATTGTGTGCTCAAGTCCCTTTTGTAAAAGGCATTGTATTTGCATTTAATCTGCATTCATCCTCTCATATACTTTAAATCATCTCTAGGTTACTTATAATACCTAGTACAATCTATTACATTGGCCAAAAGTTCATTCAGATATGTCTGTACCATCTTACAAGCCTGAACGAGCTCTTTGGCCAACCCAATAAATGCTATGTAAATGGTTGCCTTTGTATGACAAATTTAAATTTTGCTTTTTGAAACTTTCTGGAATTTTTTTTCCTGAATATTTTCAACCCACAGTTGGTTGAATCTGCAAGTGCAGAACCTGTGGCTTTGGAAGGCTAACTGTACTAAAAAGATGGGAACTCAGATGTTTTATTTTGTCTTTGAATGAAAAATCAGTAATATCAAAGCATAAAAACAGGAAAAAGAGAATTGAGAGGTCATGCTGAGAAATAAACTGAACTGAGTTATCAGTGTAATCTGATTTTGTCATGAGGAAAGATAAATATTATGTTTACATTTAGTATAAGCTACAGTCTTAATAAAATACATTAGAATCATGAATTATTAGTTTTTTACATAGTTTTTCAAATAATAAGACCTGTGGATAGATGTGTATCAAAGATAAAAAAAATACTGGTTTATAATGAAAGAGCTAAGTGGGCAGACAAAAACAGCCAGAATGAACTGAAGCTTTTGAAAATAGTCAAGTGTAACAAAAAGAATATTTGTACTCTAATTCAGGGACAAGATAGACCCATACTGAGGGCCTATGATACAGCAAGTAGAAAGCAAATCTCTCCTTCAATTTTGTTACCGTCTAGGCAAGCATTCTCTTAAACTGAAATAAACTGTAAAGCAGGCGTATAAAACAGCAATGCACAAAAATAGGTGAAAATATCAGAGCCTTGGTTAAAATTTCAATTTCAAAGTAAAGTGTATATCCCTGGGTAATCAGTAACTTCCAGGATGATCACAGGAATATTACTTTTTAAAAAGGATCTTAACAAAATAAGAGATACTAAAGGCATGAGACAAGTGCTCAGGGCTGGTGCACTGGGAAGACCCAGAGGGATGGGTTGGGGAGGGAGGCGGGAGGGGGGATCGGGATGGGGGATCGGGATGGGGAACACATGTAAATCCATGGCTGATTCATGTCAATGTGTGGCAAAACCCACTACAATATTGTAAAGTAATTAGCCTCCAACTAATAAAAATAAATGGAAAAACAAAAACAAAAAAAAAAAAAAAATAAAGGCTTTGAGGTTGGCAACTACAGCTAAGTAATAATGGCTGGATATCTCAAAAGATCAGTGACCTTGATAATGCTTCATTAAAAATTTCTGAAGCATCTGGTTTGTGAATAAATAGAAAAATAACTTTTATTAACTGAAAGCTAATTTACTCTATATAAGTCATAAAAAACTAACCTTATTCCTGTAATAAACAAATTCTTACAAGTTACTAGTAGTCTCTCTCATGATATCATTCTTGACAAAGTAGAAAAATATAGATGGAAATAGTAAACAAGTGGTTTTACAAGTGACTGTGTCAAAACGGCTATTCATATTGAAGAGATATCAGAGGTCTTTGTCTCCTAAACCTGTGCTTCAAATATATATTATTTAAATCTTCATATACAAGGTATGTTTAAGGTTTGTATATGAAATATTTTAGGAATGTAGGTAATATGCTAATGGTGAGTCAAGATTTCAAAATATTTAAACAGCCTGTTCAGAATAAGAAACTAAAAGATTATCTCTTGGAAAAAAATCTATAGTTTTTGTCTTGAAGTTTAAATCTTAAAGATATATCTTAGTGATGCTTTATGTAACAAAACCTTGAAATTGAGAATCAGGAATTACCAGTAATATAATAAGACTCCCCACATCTCTAATCCCAAGTAGAGTCTTCTAGAAGTATAGTAATCCAATTCTAAGTAGCTTGTAGAAAATCAGTGGTGTTGTATCTAGTTTGAATACCAAAACTCATATGAAATGTTTACAGACTGTATTATGGCAAGTTTAGGAAGATATGGAGTCCCTGGATATTTTTAGATTCCACTAAAGAAGGTTTTAAAGATCATCATAGGTATAGTCATTTTTAAGTATTTGAGAGGTGAGCTTATGGAAAAGTAGTTAGTCTCTTTTGATATTGCTTCAGAGGCAGAATGTGTTTAAGATCCAAAGATACAAAATCTTATTGGAATTTGACAAATGGAGTAATTTCTTTGCAAAGTACTGAGAATACTACTCCTTGAAACTGACCAACTGACACTGCTAAATGTCTTGATTACAGCCGTCCAATATAACATCACGAAGTCTTCAAAATTCTCTAAGGTTTTCAAGTTTATTCCAGCAGGAGATATTGAATTACCAATATAAGCATCCACCACCACCACCCTCTACTGCCAGTAGTGTCATTTTATATGATATAAATAGCTTTGGATTTCATATAGGGAACTGAATTCTAATCCTGTTTTGCTAGCTTTGTGACTTTGGATACTCAAGGATTGGGTTTCTTTTCTTTTCTAAAATGATTGTATAAGGCTAAACCATGTCAAGTCTTTCTCATTAATTTTTTAAATGAACTTTATTGATACATGCAATGGAATTCATCAAGTTAAAATTAAAATATATGGTTTGATGTGTTTTGACATTAGTTGTATAACCTTCACAGTCAAAATATAGAGCATTTCCATCACCCCCACAATTTGCTTCACGTCCCTTTTCATTTCACCTTTTTACTTCCGGGAACCTTTCTGCTTTTTGTCACTGTAGTTTTGCCTTTTTTAGAATTTCATATAAATGGAATTGTAAGGTATGAGGCTTTTGTGTCTAGCTTCTTTGACTTAACATATTCACTCACTTTTTTTCTTCTTGACAATTTTTTTCTTCATTGTGGTAAAATAGACACAGCATAAAATGTTCCACTTAAGTGCTCAGCTCAGTGGCACTGAATACACTTACTGTTGTACGACAATAACTACTGTATTTCTAGAGCTTTGTCATCATCTCAGACAGAAACTTCATACCCATTAAAAAGTAACTCTCCTTTCCACCTCCACCTCTTCACCCTTGGTAACCTCCATTGTATAATATAAGTAGATCATATAATATTCATCCTTTTGTATCTGGCTTATTTCATTTAGCATAATGCTCTCAAGGCTCATCCTTGTTGTAGCATTGCATTAATATCAGAATTTCTGGAGTTTTTACTGTGGCTGCATAATATTCCATTGTACATGTATATATTTTGTTTACCCACTCATCTGTTTATGGTCTTTTTGGTTGTCATGAATAATACTGCTGTGATCATTGATCATTAACATACAAATATCTGTTTGTGTCCCTACTTTTAATTCTTTTGAGTATGTACCTAGAAGCAGAGTTGCTGCCTCAAATGGTAATTCCCTGTTTAACTTTTTGTAGATTCAGCAGACTATTTTCCACAGCTGCTGCATCATTTCACATTCCCACCAGCAATGTACAAGGGTTCCAATTAATTTCTCTACATCCTCAACAGCTCCTGTTCTTTGCTTTGCTTTTTTTCTGTACTGTTTTTTATTTAAAGAAAAAATAGCCGTCTTTGTGGTAGATGTTAAGTGATAATTCATTATGATACATAGGAGTAAATTTAACTAGGAAGATGAAAGACTATGCACTGAAGACTGTGAATCATTGTTTATCCATTCATCTGTTGATGAAAGAAATTAAGGCATAAATAAATGGAAAGACCCCATGCTCATGCATTGGAAGATTCATATTATTAGGATGTCAGTGCTACCTAATATAGAGAAGGCAATGGCACCCCACTCCAGTACTCTTGCCTGGAAAATCCCATGGACAGAGGAGCCTGGTAGGCTGCAGTCCATGGGGTCGCA